TACGGCTGAGGTATTGGAGCCAGGCCAGTGACCCAGAAAAGAGCTCCACTGATAACTGTCTGTGATAGATTGTCTATCAGTGCGACGGAAGAAACCACATGCCGCCTTTCCTGAGAAAACACTGGAAAGAAGGTGCTCATAGGTCTGTTTCTGGCCCCTGAAAACGAATAGAGAGCGCCCGTGTACAGTGATATGTCACTGAACGTTAAAGAACATTAGATTATGAAAATCTTCGGAGCACTTCACTATGGCATTCCTTATAATCATCCCACATATTAAAGAAGAAACTCAGATATTAAAATTTCAGATATTGTAATTACGATTACTATAACACTCTGAAACGAAACCAGCGCATTCACCAGAGATAAAGCTTGTCCACATTTTCCTGCGTTTGTGAGACATGCAACTTTATTCCTAGGTGCCTTCCTTTATAATATTAACACGCCGATGACTCTAAAGACGATTGAGAATTTTCAATCAATCGAGTTGTGTGACGCTTACAGAAAAGATATTTCACCGGAAATCATTTTAAGTGACATCACATGCAAAAACATTAGGTTATTCATGCCAATATCATAGTAGAAACTATAGTTAACATATAATATTGTGAAGATCAATTTACTTTCTGCACTGTCATCGTGGAACTTCGCCTTCTGACCCATGCAAGCTTGCAAAAAGAGTTTAAAGTTAGTGTTCAAGCTGTGGGCATAGGTTGTATTATAAAGGTTGAGGTGTATATGCGACACATTTTTAGAATTAGAATTTTCGTAAGTGCTTTCGCGTTTTACATGCTATTTTGGCATGCATATTCTACTTTAACACCTAAGTGGAATACTGGGACACTTTTGTGATCTGGCTCCACTAAAATGTGGCATCGAGTTGGCCCCCTTGATATTGTTAGCAAAGAGAGAGAGAGAGAGATAAAGATGCAAGGAAAGGCAGGGAGGTTAACCAGATGCACATACGGTTTGCTACCATGCACTGGGGAAGGGATAAAGGGGAGAAAAGAGGTTGCAGAGAGATGAGAAGGTACACACAATCACGAGCACACTCGGGGAGCACACACAGTCTACAGGTGGTCGCTCAGGTTTGTTGACTTTAGGTAAAGTAGCAGTGCTTCAGTTGCTTTCTGCGCAACTGAGGCAGATGCCCAAGGTCCTAGTATCTTCTGCACACAAAATGGTCCGGGGTCAAGTGGATTCAAAACCATCCGGAGCTGGCATCGCTGTGTGTCGTAGCAAGCGCAGCTGCACAGGACGTGTTCGATGGTCTCTTCAGCTCCGCAGTAGTCGCATGTAGGAGTGTCTGCCATACCAATGCGAAAGGAGTACACCTTTGTAAATGCAACACCCAACCAAAGGCGGCATAACAGTGTCGCATCGGAGCGGGAAAGTTGTGATGGTAGCTTTAGCTTGAGCGAAGGATCCAGTTCATAAAATTGACACCTTTAGAAGCTGGTAGACGACCAGAACGTGCGTGTGAGATCTCGAGCCAGCAGGTAAAGTTGTCTTGCTGCATCATTCCTTGATAGTGGAATAGGGACTACACGGGTTTCTTCATGGGCTGAGCGGGCTGCATCATCGGCTAATTAATTTCCGGTAGTACCGATATGTCCAGGCAGCCATTGATATATAATATCATGCCCTCGTGCTAAAGCTTCATGATGGCAATGTCTTATTTCTTGTACCAATTAGTCATGACTCCTCCTACGCATGGCAGACTGCAAACTCTGAAGCGCTGCCTTCGAAACACAGAATATGATCCATTTTCCTGGACGTTCTTGAACGAGATATTGTGAAGCAGCCCTTATAGCAGCAAGCTCTGATGCCGTAGCAAAATGTTACATCTATATACCACGGTGCTACAGTGTTACTTTTTGAGTCAGTTCAATACACTAAGGATAGAAATCAGGGACAGAAGTCCTTTAGGTGTTTAATATCTAAATGTTGATTTTGGCATTCCTGTTGTGAAGTTTCCAATTTGAACGCTAGATTTTCCTCTTCTTTTATGATTAGAACCATATCCAATATGTAGAATTAGATCGGAGTATAGATAAAAGCCTTAATTAGAACCAGACCAAACCATTCTGCACGACTTGGCGGTGACATAATGCATGAAATGGAAATACAGGTCTATAGACATTTGGTATCCCGAACAATTATGTTCAGGAGACCGAAGTAAAAGAAAGAGAATTGCCAAGAGGCAACAAGGGTCTTTGCATACACTTTCGCATTCCACTCTTTTCTCATGTCATGCGTTAAACTTTGCCTTTAATGTTTTCCATGCTGTTAACTAAACATTTTGTTCAATAATCCTTTCTCCTTCAACTTATTCCTTAGTCCTTAGGCCTGTACGGTGCTGAAGATGATGAATAATCAGCCCTTCGCAATGTATGGCCATCTTTCATTTTATGGCATAAGTCATAGCGCAAAAAAAAAAAAAATTATCAGGTGACAAGCGATCGCCTCATGTTCATTTTTCGCGCAACGCCTTCTGCAGTATACGACCAACTAACTCAAATTTCCCCCTTACGGCAGCTTCCAACCCCCCGCTCGGTATGCAGTTCACATCCTATATAGTTTACTAAACTAGCCATAAAGGGGATTGTGGCGCTGCAATCGTTCTTTACACCATCGGAATTAAGGGTGGTACACAAATTTGCCTAGTCTTCATGCTTGCGGGCTTCCAACGCACTTGTGGATATTGGTTTTGCTTTGAATAAAAGAACGAAACATTGTGACCTTTGTGAGCCTATTATAGAATTTATCAGCCTAAAAAGGTCAAAGTGTTTCATAAAGGTAAGCGTGGCACTGAATTGACGAGAACGGGACAGAGAGAACACACATCAAGCGCTTGTGTGTGTTCTCTCTGTCCCGTCCTCGTCAATGTAGTGCCGCGATTACGTTTATGAACATTCTACACCAACAAGGTCAACAAGCCACCATCGTCGAAGTAATTGAGTGCAACTGCTAAACCTTTGATGAGCTTCGCCTTGCGGCAAAGCGAATGCAGGCCCCAAGAAGCCAAACGGAGTCAGAAGAACGAAGATTAGGCATGTTTGTGTACTCCCCATCATTCTCATGCATGCTCGCTGAACCACCGTTCGTTGTAGCTCTCATAGACAATATAGCGCCAGAGTTCCCTCTAGAGTACTCGCATTGATAGTAAACTCAACGGTTCATATTATGTGACCTCTGGTGGGGTTCTTCACTTCTGCCATGCAGTACTACATTTGTTAGCGAGATTCTTTGCGCTACATGACGAATGTACACAATATCACTGATACGGAAGCTTAAGGCGTGCACATATTGTCACGACGCAGACACAGCAGGAGTTCGATATAGAAGAGCTCACTTTAATTAAAAATGAAAGGCGCTCGTAAAGAGAGGACCGGGCAAGAGCTTCGTCTTCTTCTCTGGCTGTGCGACCTCTCCTCTGCAGGTTGAATGCGGCATTTGCCTCCCTCCAGGAAGAGCATCGACCCGATGCTCGGCTACAGATACGCGGTGTATGTAGTTGACGTATTACGCAACTGGCTCACTGTAATATGGCTTCATCCGCACAACGTGTACGATTTCAGATTTTTGAGCTCGCGAGGAACTGTCAGGGATGACCTCATAATTCACGTCACTTAGGCGCCGTATAACATTGTAGGGACCAAAGTACTTCTTCAATAACTTTTCACAAAGGCCGCGTCGGCGAATAGGGCTCCAGACCCACACTTTCTCGCCTAGTTGATAAGTGACGTATCGGTGTCGCAGGTTATAACGTTGTGCGTCATAACTCTGCTGTCGGGCGATTCGCACGCGTGCTAGCTGCCATGCCTCTTCAGCTCGTTGGGTAAAGGCTTGAACATCAGTGTTTGTATCCTCGCAGTCGTGCAGCAGCATGGAATCAAGCATTGTGGTCACTCCACGGCCATAAAGAAGACTAAATTGCGTGCTCCGCGTAGTTTCCTGCTGCGCCGCATTATAAGCAAACGTCACGTATCGTAGAACGTCGTCACAATTTTTATGATCCACGTCGATGTACATACTAAGCATATCAGCAATTGTCTTGTTGAGGCGTTCTGTTAAGCCGTTGGTTTGTGGGTGGTAGAAGGTAGTTTTTCGATGCGCTGTTCCACTCAACTCAAGCACTGACTTGAGGAGCATGGCCGTGAAAGCGGTACCTCTGTCTGTTATTTTAATTCTAGGAGCACCATGCCTCAGAACGATATTTTCAATGAAAAATCGGGCCGCTTCTACTGCGGTTCCACTTGATAAAGCCTTTGTTTCTGCGTAGCGAGTAATATATATATATATATATATAGTTAATGTGATCGAATACTTCGCTCCTACGTAGAATAGTTGGGTTCGATTTCATCCGGATTTCTTATTTTTGTTATTGTTGCTTTTATTCAGATCACGTGGTTTTGCGTAACACATGCCATGGTCAGCGTTTTGTCAGAGACGTAGCGCGTTGACCTTAATAATTTGTTCTTTCTGATTTACAATCACTTCCGAACTTCTGACGCCCATTCCAGTCAAGTTGAAGACTGCGAGCGACATGGTAGTAAATATTTCCCGATCAACTTTCATCTTTCGAAGTCACTCACCATGCACTTGAATATACGCACAGAAGCCTTCGCTTCACTCTCCCTATGCGAAAATGTAACCAATACACGAGCTTGCGCTCACCCATCAGTGCATTGTAGCAGCTGCTTCTCGCAGCAGCGACTTTTGTTGATTCCTTTTTCTTTCAGCTCACATCTGATGCCTTTGGAACAACTGCTTCACGCCAGGTATCGAAAAATCATTTCCGCTCGGGGGAGCAGATTAAGATGGCAAATTGCGCAAGACTGAAACAAATAGAGCGGGCCAAGGGCAACGTGTGTGAAGAGCGCGAACTGGAACATAAAGTATTGGCGCTTTGCGAGACCTTCGAAGGAAGGTTGCTCGAGATCAGAACTGCAGATACTGTATCCGGAGAGGGGGTGGTTATGTAAAAGTGCATGGCAGCCAAGTGTTTATTCGGCCGGTTGTCTGAGAGGTGAGTGTGTCTTTTGCCTGCCGCCTGCAATATTTGTCAGAACTGTCAGAACTTTAAGGGTATCGACATTTCATTTCCGACATCAATACTTCGGGTTCGTTGCGTTTGGACTGACATGAAAGCGTAACTCAGGGACGCTAAATTTCGCAATGTCGTCTTCTGTGTAACGAAAGGCGCTATAGAGCACTGCTTCACGTGTCTGATTGCGGCGTCGCGCGCTCGCGAATGTTCACAAATTTCACAGGTCTCCTTACTTGATTCGGAATCTCAAAGACTGGTCGCGGTGGTATAGTTGCAAAAGTACTTGGCTGCTGACCCGCAAGTCGCGGGATCGAATCTCGGTTGCGGCGGCTGCGTTTTCGATGGAGACGAAAATGCTGTGTATATAGGCCCGTGTGCTCAGATTCGAGTCCACGTTAAAGAAACTCGCGTGGTCGAAATTTCCGGAGCCATCCACTACTGCATTTCCCAAAATTATATGGTGTTTTTGGGACGTTTAACTCCACATATCAATCAATCAGTCAATCAAAAACTGGCCTTTAGCCCTACCCGAGAAACCGCAATGGTTATATATTTGTGTGGCCGTGTCACAAACTTCCTTAGTCTTCGGAATGATCTCAAGACGATGTTCAAATATCGGTGGGCTTGTACGGCTAATAATATATCTGGAGGATTAACGTCCGAAAACAAAAATGTAATTATGTGGGACGCAGTACAGAGGAGGGCTACAGAATTTCCGACCATCTGCGCAGTACACAGACCTGTACCATCTCGCCAACCATTGAATTGCGGCCCCAGCGGCTGGCATCGAACCAGTGGCCTACACGGAGTTGGCACTGAGCCTTGATCCGCAAGGGAGCAACACTATCGCCGTGCAATTTCGAAGGTCCGTTCGCACGCCCGTCCTGTTGTCCGTGCTTAGGCTTATGTGTTCCAGAGGTCTTTAAACATCCGAGTAGCTGTTCGGACACAACACGTGAAGCGAGATTTATGCGCGTGCGGTGAGCGCTCAGACCTCCAAAATCGCGACCCCAACGCTAGCGATCCTCGAGGATGACTTCAATTGCATACCCTCTATATATAAGAATAAACGTGGCTCTGTATTTTCGAACATTAATTTTTGTTGGCACATTTCTACACCCTGTATTGAAAATAAGCAACATCGAAAATGTAGAGGGAACTAACATTGTAGTAAGGGGCACTGTGGACGCGATCTGCAAGCGTTATTATTGTAGTACTAAGAATCAGACACGAATATTACGAGAATTTTGCCGGAGTCAGAGAGCTAGGAATTTTGCAATTTTGCAGTACCTACCTCACTAGCGCCTCTTTTAGCAGCTGCTGTAAAGCGTTGGCTATTCGTCAGACTTCGAGTGGCGCCCTTCACAGTTTCTATAGCGTGAAGATGTTTCATCACGAACTCTGCTATCTAAGATATGCTCGACTCTTCCCTATACTCGAATAAGTCTCAATCCCCGTTAACGGAGTAAAGCAGTGTCACTGCTCCGGTGAACACGCTGTAGCCTTGGTATTCCTTTTCTTTGCCGTGGATAGAGAGACATCAATTTATATTCCCGTAATAAATGAGCGCCATGCAAAACACGTTTTCTTCAAGCGCATATAGTTTAAAAGCTAGGGGACGTGTGTGCCGCATAGCTGAGGCAGCGTAAGGTATTGTGGACAAATGCATAAAAAACAAATCAAACGCAACTTTCTAACTGCATTAAAGTTGAGAGGTGGACGATTTGGAACTGACGCCTTCCTGAAAACATTTCAGCGCGAACGACATGGAGCATGGCAAAGAGGACCCAAACAAGCGATGTGTGTTTGGAAAAAGTTGTTAACGATTTAGAATACCTGGTACTCTACTATCATGGGAGAGCAAGAACGATAAGATGCGCAGGGAACCCAGCATTACTTAGTCGATCAACTAAGCATCTGAAAGCTGTCCTGACATTTGTGTATGCAGAACTTCTTTCTATGCACAATGTAGGGAATTCATTATGATGGCATTCTGAACAATCTGAGAATGACTGAATGTGTAAGGAAGCAGAGATTTCTTGGAACCAGGTGAGACACACCAGTAAAAATGGTCACTTTGCAAAAAAATTGCCCGCAGCTTCCCTCGGGGGAACACTGAGGAGGATGCGGAGCATATAATTGGTTAACGGGGTGTTAAAGTGCGACTTACTTGGGTCGATGGCTAAATTGGTTAACGTGGTTGTAGGAGGGGGTGTTAAATGAGTGAACACGTACACACGTATGCGAAAGGACGGCGCTGGTCGAAGGGACGTCGATCATTGTGTTTGTGGATTCGTTGGAATTCATTTCACCGCGACCTTGGACGTCGACGCGCCGTACAAACCAACCGACGAGCGGCAACTGAGCGAGCGAGCGCCGACCTTGAGTATATATACAGCGCGACGGCGCATCCACTGTCAGCTGTTGAATGTTCTCGAAGGAGAAGCGCGCGCGCGGCACAGATGGCGACGGCGCGACGGCGCATGCGCTGTCAGCTGTCGAATGTTCTCGAAGGAGAAGCGCGCGCGGCACAGATGGTGGGCGACGGCGCGACGGCGCATGCGCGCGCGTCAGCTGTCGAATGTTCGAGAAGCGGTGCGGACGGCGCGGACGGCGCGGACGGCGCACTACAAGGCGCGAGTATAAGATGCTTCCGCATCTAAAACAAACGGAGGTCCAGAAACTGCAAACAATTGTTACTCGGCAATTCACTGGTGAAATTCAGCCCAAATGTCTTTCTGTAACTTCATAAGCTTAATGTGGTGAAAGAGGAACAATCTTTCCCAAAAAGTATAAAATAGTCATCGATGAAGCGAAATATTTTCACTACCGGATCACGCGCTTCACAGTCTTTACAGTCTATTTTTCTAAATAGCGCTAATGGGTTTTTTTCCGAGGACGCCTTCTGATGAAGTACCACGAAGTGACCTTCCTTGTCTGGCAGCAACAGCTTCAAGTGTTTATCGACAAGGAAGTTCACAAGAGGTCCCAGTTCCTCTGAAGGTATAAATCTAGCCTACTACCAGTTGGGAGTAGGCCTATCAGACAAGGAAGCTCACTTCGTGATACTTCATCAGAAGGCGTTCTCGTGGCTATGAGCGCTATCTTGAAAAATTTTGAGCCTTTACTTTCGAAGCCTAACCACGTCAAAAAGCAAGCCGTCTCACTCCTGAGTGAGTGTGGCTTCGGGCGCATCGCTTCAGTGGTTGGAAAGGCACACATGGACACTCTTTTTTTTTTCTTTGCTGCCAAAACGCGCAAGTCTGACGACCCGTTTCGCTGTATCGTGTCCGAACGTCACATTTGGCAACACCTAGTGTCCGGTTACCTGCTGCACCAGCTTTCTACACTTCATGTCATGGATCCTTTGCGAGTGTCTAATTCCTGTGTTGTTGTGGATTTTTAGCGAACAATAATTCAGGACATTGAGAAGCGTTCATTTATTCTCGATGCGGAAGATTTTTTTTATGCTCTCACACACAACCAGTTCATGAAATTCAATGATTTGTGAAATCTTTCATCACTGAAGATAACCATGAACTGGCCTTTGTGAATAGTAGCCTAGTTATGCTGAGGCATTCCCGGAGCTTTTGAGCTTTTATCTGAAGTCCACCTTCGCAGCTTGAGAAGGGAAGCAGTTCATGCAAAAGTCTGGTGTATGTAGCGGGTCTAGGGTGTCACTGGTTTTGCACGATAATTTTTTGAGTACTGTTGCCCGCGGCTTATAGATTGTGAATTGCGTGATATGGTGGTGAAAATACTTCGCTACGTCGGGGGGTATACCTTATACATTTTCGAAAAGATTTCTCCCCTTTTCAACGCATTAACCTGATGAAGTTATTCAAACAAAAAGGCGTTTGCGTTGAATTTCGTCTGTGAATTGCCGAGTAACAATTGTTTGCAGTTTCTGAACTTCCGTTTGTTTTCGTAGAGTGACCATGTTTACTGCTGTTTTTCACCGCGTTCCAAGAAATGTCTGCTTCCTTACACAATCGATCATTGTAAGATTAAGAAGAATGTCATCGCAATGAATTCCCTACATTGTGGCAAGAAAGAAGTCTTGCATGCACAAATGTCAGGACAGCTCTCGGAAGCAAGTTGATCGACCAAATAATGATAGGTTTCCAGCGCATGTTCTTCTTGCATCAGCCTAGGGAATATTAATCAAGAAGTACAAATCCCGGTCAAACAGGCGGTAACCACCGCCTGTTTGACTCGGTAACCACCAGTCAAAATCCCAGTAACCACCGGTCAAACAGGCGATAAGCTGAGTAGATATGCTGTCATGCCTTACGTTCACTGCATGGTTGTCTCATCGATTTAAGAAGATAGCAAAAAGTTCTGACGCTGGGGTTCTCTTTTCTTCGAACCAAAAGTTTTGAAAAGTGTGTGCCCCCACCCCACCCCCTCCCCGTTTTTTGCGCTGTGGTGAATACTCTTCTCCTGCGGCAGAGTGTATATAGGCCAGTCGGGTAAATGCATCAATGAAAGACACCGACAGCACAATTGTACCTCAGAGGGAACGCCAACATCACACCTCACGACATTTTGTAGGACATGTGGATGTAGGCCACTCTTCGATAACACTGTCATCATGCACAAACATAGGGATATATGGGCGTGGAAACTCATGAAAGCGAACTTAATTAATGATGTGGGAAAAGATTGCATATTCGAGCCATCTGTTTGCTTTTTAGATCGTGAACTGCGTAAGTTGTATGAGGTCTTTGATTACAGGTGATTTCTGCGTATGCGTTGTTTGGTTTTAAGGTGGTTGAAAATTTCCTTCAGTAAACTTTCGTTGTTAGACAGTGCTTGTTCGGGTCCTCTTATTTGTGCTCCATCTCGTTCGCGCTGTAAAGTTTTCAGGAACGCATTAACTGGACAGTAAGTTCACGGTAAACTATTCGTACTAATCCGGTGCTATACGTACGACTTGTGTAGCAGAATTTGTTAATATAGCGCCACGTCACAACGGCTATATTGAATGCACGAAGATTACATCCGATGACTGCTATGACATTGAGACTCTCGTGACTGCCCCGCTGCGCCTGGCATATACGTATTTCAGAACTCTTCATTTATTTATTTACAACATACCATTCAGTCCAAGCAGAAGTGGCAAGGTACAAAATAAATAAACGTACAATGCACAATTGAAAGTCTCAAACGAAAACGGCTTACAAGCAACTAAAAATCAAAATGATCAGGAAACAATGAGGTTGTAGTCATGCATTGATTCAGGCGAGTCCAGATGATGAAAATTTATTAGGTTCCACGCCATTCGTACTATTTTCAGCTCGAAGAAATTTAATGTAGAACCCGCTTCGAAAAAAAGAAAAGAGGCAGTCGAATAAGAGAGAGGCAGTGAAAGAAACGTTCAGTGAAAGGCAGTGATGCCACAAGAAAATTCGATCGATAGAAGCCTTTTTAACGCAGTTGTGTTAAAGAGGTCATTGCGTGGAAATTCAAGCGTTGGCGTCGGCGTCTTTGGTTGTGAGCAAAAAATGAACATATGCTGGACCGACATATTGAGAAAGATGCAAATAAAATAAAGAACAAAATACCTGGGTCCCAGTGAGGATCGAACTCACGCCGTGTTCTACCACACAGCCACGTGCGGTCTCGGAAACACAGTGAAAATAACTTCTGCTTGAAAATGCAGTGAAAATAACGTTCACGCTTTTCAGGCACATGTCTCCTGTATGCAGGTTTCATGATATGACATGTAATATCGCCGTAGCATTGCATGGTACAAACGTACGCTGCCAGAACATATGATTATCGTAACGACTTCGTAGTTTAAAGCTGCGGCCGCCCTTTACAAAATGCACACATGTTACTACACGTACTGGGTGCACAGCAAGTTCTATAAACAATGCACGCACAAAATCGGTCGTGGTTTGAAGCATGCTGCCCATTACACTGAATGGAAACATATTCGTGAGCTCCACTGTGACAAGCCACTTTCAAATTTATTGATTACGTTGTAGTAATCCACAATTTAAATTTCTTGAGTATCATCATACAAATAAAATATGAACTATAAGGGGTTGAATAAACATTAGGGGCAGAATATCGCTATCGCGTTCAGCTTTTAAAGGCGAAGCTTAAGGATCCCCACCCCCTTTTTTTTTCACAGAGCAGCCTGTGCCAAGCGCGCGACAGTGCTTTTCTTTTTCCTTACATGTTATGAGAGCGCGCCAGAGCATATACGACCTGCATATATCCGCAGCGTAGTGACAGACAATACATAGCGCAGCTCGCATAACCTCTGTAACGCAGGGTATTCAGGGACGGTCGTGATGAACACCGACTCCATGGCGACGCCGAAGAAAACCGAATCACCGCCCAGCCTCGAGCATGCTGCCGAAGTGCAACTCGGCGAGACAGCGGAGGCCAAGATGCGCAGTTTGTCGAGGTTAAGGGAGCTCATCGCAGGTGAGTGAGTCAGGAATGAGTTCATTTCTTAGTGGCTGCTTGAACTGCTTGCATAAGATGCTAGCTTGCTCGAGTTCGACGTAGAGCTACTTACGCACTTTTTCACAGGAGGGAGAAAAACGCCGCCATTTTGGGCTACTTCTTGATGGTCGAAGGCTGAAGGCAAAGCCTCCGCAGTGCATTTGGTGGGGGAGGCGGTGCTCACACTAATTAGCGCAGCCTTGAAAGGACTATGGCGGCGCCATGAAGCGGTTTTTGTAAAAGTCAATAGAATGTACCCGGAACCCTGAGTGCTGGTCAGCGGCTAAAAGACTGTGCTGATAACAATTTCCATCCATACCCAAAGGTTAGGTGACTTGGTAAAGCAACAGTGATTCTACAGCAATAATAAATGTTGCAGTTATTTAGTCCCGGAACTATGATATCATTGCGGGACGCCGTCAGGGGGGGTTCCGCAAATTTCATCCACATGAGGTTCTTTGACGTGCAACTAAATCGAAGAACACGGGCCACTATAGTATTTCGCTTCCATCGTAATGCAGCTGCTGCAGCCGGGATTTAATACCGCGGCGTTTGGGTCAACAGTCAAAGACCGTAACCACTAGACCAGAGTGTCGGGGGACCTGATCGCATGAGCGTATTTTCACGCTGAAACAGCTCGAACTTAAATTCAACAACGTAACTTTGTGGGAGCTCTCAATGTTTGGGAAAACAGACTAAGCGGTATACGCCGCCTGTAAGCGCGAGAATGACCACACGACAAACGCTGACCCATGGCAGGACCTCGCATTGCGCGCGTCATGCGTATCAATCTGCCAAAATTACAAATATTAACACCGACAAAACAACTTACTTTCTAAGATATTAAATGATGCGAATATCCGGAAAGACTTAGTAAACGTGGACATCAAGTTACAAAGCGGGAAAGTAAAGTTTGAAGCAGAACTTCTTTGAAGGAAATTTATGTGCAGGGTTTTGTTCGCAATTCGTGGAAGAAGGTACTTGAGTCTATATAGTAATCTTGAGTAATGTAGAAACAGTGGGGAGAGCAATGTATCTGCTAGCTCTTGTATCACGATGCTGCTAATTATCGTAGTTGTGCGTTATATCTTTGTGATTGTTTCTACTTGGCTGTCTCACTTAGGATGTCATTGTCTCCTGTGTATCAGAAATTAAAATTTCTATGTCAATCAAACACATCGCCAGCACCTGCAGTACGTATCTCTCTATTGGCAAAAAATTGCTACAGTATATATAGCTAACTAGATGATGTAGCTTACGAAAGAAATCATGTACGACCGAATAGAAGAAGGCGTTTCTTTGTTGAACACTTGCGAGGGTGGTTTAGGATTAAGGGAGCCGATTTTAGGCGAACGAACTCGACCACGCCTGCAAGGAACGTAAAAAACAAAAACAAGCCACAATTTGATTGGGCTTTTGCGCACCCAATTTCTGTAACTCCAAAATCCATTTCGTGCAGGGGACACGTCGCTCCTTTGCCCCACGGACGACACATTTCTGGTCAAGTTTCTGCGGGCCCGCAAGTACTGCGAAGAGGCGGCCTTCGGGAACATTCAAAAGTACTTCCGCGTCAAGCAAACCGCGGCAGACTTCTTCAAGAACCTCTCCCCTTCCACTGTGCCTCTTAGCGCAGTGTTGCCCCACCACCGGCTCATGATGGTATCCGAGAAGAAAGATCCAGAGGGAAGGAGAGTGGCCGTTATAAAGATTGGTGAGAATTGCTTTTTATTTTTATTCCCCAAGTTTGCTTGCTCGTAGCAATTCCATGCAGCCTATGTGCTGTGACGATGTTCAGACGCCATCTGTGCGGCGGACAATTGACGGGACTACAGCTGTTATGAAAACTTCTATGCTAATAATATATAAAGTTTTACATGCCGAAACACCAATATGGTTTCGAGGCACGCCGTAGTGGAGGGATCCGAAATTTCGACCATCTTGTGTCCTTTAACGTGCACTCTCATCGCGCACTACGGTCCACCATGGTGGAGCAGTGGCTATGGTGCTCGGCTGCTGACCCAAAGGTCGTGGGTTCGATTCCTGACGTGGTGGTCACTTTTCGATAGAGGAGAAATGGTATACGGCCATGTGTATTGTAACCTGTGAAATGTCAGTGCCTGAAGAACTACAGAAGGTCAGAATTTCCGGAGCTCTCCACTACGGCATTTCTCATAATCATATGGTGGTTTTGGGGTGGGAAACGCCGGATATTATTACATCTCAGATTGATTATTTGTGGGGTTTAACGTCCCAAAACCACCATATGATTATGAGAGACGCCGTAGTGGAGGGCTCCGGAAATTTTGACCACCTGGGGTTCTTTAACGTGCACCCAAATGTGAGCACACGGGCCTCGACATTTCCGCCTCCATCGGAAATGCAGCCGCCGCAGCCGGGTTATTACATCTCAGAGTACACGGGCCTCTAGTATTTCGGTTCAATCGAAATGCGACGACCACGGCCGGGATTTGGTTTCAATAATCTTCCGGACGGCAGCCACGAACTTTGGAGCTGGGAAACCTTTTGCGATTACTCCATAAACGCTATAGTATGTGCGCACGCGCATTATGTGTTCTTCCTCGCCTCGCCTTCTCCATTTTCCCGCTGCCACCTTCTTCAGATTTATTGATGAATATGTGGGGTTTAACGTCCCGAAACCACCATATAATTATGAAAGACGCAGTATACAGTGGAGGGCTCCGGAACGTTCGACTGACTGGGATTCTTTGACGCGCACCCAAATCAAAACATATGGGCCTACATCATTTTCGCCCTTATGTGTTTAGAATAAGTGGTTAACGATTTAGAGTACTTGGTACTCTACTATGGCAGAGCACTGAGCCGTCCCTGATACATGAGCTTGAGGTTCAAGAGGAACCCCAAGGAGGAGGAGAAACAATATCGTAAATGCAGCCACCGCAGCCGGGATTCGATTCCGCGACCCGCGGGTCAGCAGTCGAGTACCTTAGCCAATAGACCACCGCAGCGGGACCCCTTTCCTCAGTGCAGGGTAGCAAAACAGATGCAACTCGACGATCTTGCCAGTGTTTCAGTTTCCCTATATATCTTTCTCTATTTCAAGTGCTTCACTCCTCTTATATACGTCTGCGTTGCTTATTATACGTATGCGTTGTCGCACGATTGATTGATTGATTGATTGATTGATTGATTGATTGATTGATTGATTGATTGATTGATTGATTGATTGATTGATTGATTGATATGTAGGGTTTAACGTCCCAAACCACCATATGATTATGAGAGACGCCGTAGTGGAGGGCTCCAGAAATTTCGACCACCCGGGGTTTTTTTAAGGTGCACCCATGCAAATCTGAGCACACGGGCCTACAGCATGCGTTGTCGTACGGTCTGGTAGTTCGTGTACGAAGGATGATAAGACAGAATCGATATAATCAAATTCCTACATAAGCTACGGCCCTGACTTGCTTGTTATGACGACTCGTTTCTCTCAAAGTTTAATCCACCTATTTGCCATCGCGGGTTTCCGCCTCGTAGGGCTCCTTATTATTGGCCTGCAGAGAAAAGGAAACGAATGCAGACAGAATGTATACGATAATCAGTGATAACGTGGCGCGCAGTAGGGAGCATGCGCTGTTTATATAAATGCTTATTGTGGGCATTTATTATTCGCGTAGCCGTTCCTTTGTTACACGCACGAACAAGAAAACAACAACGACGACGACGACGACGATGATGATGACGAGGAGGAGGAGGAGGAGGACGACTACGACGACGACGACGACGACAATGACAACAACAACAACAACAACAACAACAACAACAACAACAACAACAACAACAACAACAACAACAACAACAACAACAACAACAACAACAACAACAACAACAACAACAACAACATTAAAGAACCCCAGGTGGTCGAAATTTCCGGAGCCCTCCACTACGGCGTCTCTCATAATCATATGGTGGTTTTGGGACGTTAAACCCCACAAATCAATCAAATCAATCAAATCAACAACAACAACAACAACAACAACAACAACAACAACAACAACAACAACAACAACAACAACAACAACAACAACAACAACGAGAGCAACGAAACCAGCGCTTGTCTATGTCCCCTCGCTTCGTCATTCGTTTTTTTTTTTTTTCGCACTGTTAACGTTTTTCGCAATGAAGCGTTTTTCCGCCTCGTCTTTCCAGGTTCCTGGACCACAAGCGTGTGCTCCGCAACCGACCTCATGAGGTCAGCGCTGGTGATGGCAGAGTGGGCGCTGCTGGACGAAGAAACGCAGGTTCGCGGGGTCGTGTGCGTGTTTGACCTCAAGAATCTGCACATCATGCACATGGCACATTTCACCCCCACATTCGTCAAGAAAACGGTGCACATCATGCAGGTGAGAACGAGATGACGAAACGTACAGTCACCTGGTGTGGTAAATCGAGAGCATCAGAACACTATGAAGAAGTGGTGCTTTATGGAACCGTGCAGTATCCTGTTTAAGTCTTTTTGTTGGGGGGCCTGTAGATGCTATTGATGTTGATGACTGTCGTATGAGATGTCGAAGGCACCTTATTCTCACTCGGGCGATAATCTCACGCTAAGCACAAATTAAGATGCGTCTATGTAAGTATATAAATTTTGTTACTGCACTAGACAAAGCTCTTGAACCAATGGCGTAAAATCCGAAATTGTAATAGTTTATTTATCGGCTGTCGGAATAAGAGAATACATTGAGGGTGACAGGATGCTTCGTTTCTTATTGTTTACAGCACGCCAATGAAATGGAGCTTGTGTTTTTTTGCGTCACTTATTACACATATAGACGCTATTTTTCCTCGCTGCTTGCGTTTGTGTGCGCCGATTGCTAGTGAGATTCCTTGTTTTATGGACATGAACAAACTACTGTCTCGTTAAACTGGAAGCATATTTAATTGCTCCGTGAATAGATAGTATTGAGGGAACTGAAAATGTGAACTGACGGGTCTTTTTTTTTTAAATTTCAGGATTGTTATCCAGCCCGCATTAAGGCCATCTACGTGATAAACACTCCCCCTGCCTACGAAATTATCTTCGCTGCTGTCAAGCCTTTCCTGAAGTCTAAGCTTCTGAAACGGGTGAGTAGTTATTATCGCTTGTTATAGCACGACTAATGGTATAGAATAATCTAACACATGGTAAGTTACGGCTTACGAGGCGGGACCTTTATGGACGATTCTCTGTTAGTATTGGCCATTCAGGGCTTTTTTATATAGGCGCTCAAAGCAAGGTACATTAACGCCTTGCATTTCTCCCACTGCCGAGTAGCTGCGAGCCACGAACCACGAGTCGGCGTGCAGCTACCTGTGCAACTATTCAATGCATGCAGAGTCTTAGTCAAAAGTTGACATGCTCGCTTCTGTCTAAAATAGCGGGTGCATGGTACCAAATGTAAATTATGAGACATATTAGTGTCCAGAAGACGATTCGTGCTTCATGCCACTACAAAAATTCCTAGCAGCTATCACGATCAATTTGGTTGTAAAGTTCGCAAAACTGTGGCCGGCCAACGAATAACTCGAAATGAGTGACACTGTGTCAAGCTAAACCTAGGACAAATTTACTACCACGTCAGGACATATGGTTACAGGAACAATATATTTAGACGATATACACACAGAAAACTTCAGTGGCTAACAATATGGCCCCCAGATCGCAAAGTCTGTCTATGTCGTCTTCTTTTCAGTCCTCTTCGTCGTCCTCTTCATCCCGTTACATTACTGTGACAATTCCAACAATGAGTGGTACATAATGCATCTATCAATAGAGTGGAATATGCCAAGTACGGAATTAGCTGTTCTTCAAAAACGTTTTACCAAGTATTTAACATATGGTGTGTCTGCGTGCACGAGTGGCAACTAAAAGTTTGGTAGAAGGAGATCTTGAAAGAGCTGTTTTACGCAGCAGACGGTGCTCGGGTTAGAGGCGATTTCATCATAGTACAATACCAAATGTTTCCTGCTTTTGTTGCTGTGTCGAAGAGTGAGTTTCGCGTACACTAGCATTTCATTTGCAGTCATCGCTTGGGCTGCACTAGCGAGAGATATTGTTCATGTATAGAGTCTAAAGTGCTCTGTTAGGCGATCCAGGGGCAATACTGAGTTCAAACACTTATATTATACAGTAGTTTTATTAGATGTGTTGACTTCGACCTCGTAATAAAAGAAAAATTTACTCTCACATAATTAAACACATGCCACACAGGCTACTATACGCCACACAGGCCGAACTCCACTATACTCTGTCCACGTCGTCGTCTTTCTTCACTCGCTACAAAGGGCACGTGCATTTCTAACAGATCGTTTTACTGCTTAAGTTGTACACCACTAAGGGTGGTGGTGGTGCTAAAAAACATTTATTTCAGATAAAGTCTACTAGAGAGTGCCGACGTGACCCATCGGCGTGCTAGAGTGGCCAGACCCTATTCCGGGACGCCAGTGGAGCTGGAAGCTGCCCGTGCGCGCTCCACCAAGGAGCGTTGCGCAGCCAAGGTAGAGCGGCCGAGCAGGTGCTCCTCCCAAGCCTCTCTACTCTAGTTGGGATAGGAAAAGGGGATGAGAAAGGGACGGGATTAACTAGGCACGATGCTACGACGTGATATGTGTCGGCGAGGACATGACAGGTCGAGCAGGTGCCATTGATTTCCGGCAAAAAGTGCCTGGCGACCGCCGGACTGATAAAGGTGTTAGTCTGCAGGCGGCGTAGCAGTCGTTCGTCCGCTTTCTCCAAACCGCGTGCGGGGTCCGGGTAGAGGCGGCGCGAAGCCCGGTAATAAGCCAAAATTTCGCGAAAGCGCGTCAGGTTGGTATTGCAAGATTCCGTCTCGGGACATGGAGGGGCAACGGCCCGGACAGAAGAAGCGCGGGCAGCGGCATTTGCCGCCTCGTTGCCGGGCAGGTCCGAGTGGCCTGGGGTTCAGACTATACGAATAGGATGAGGGTTAAAGCGCCAAGAGGCTGCCTGCAGGAGGCTAGCCGCCAGCGGGGCAATGGAACCCTGAAGGTACTGAGAACAGGCCGAGCGCGAGTCCGTCAGGATGGTGCGTGAGGCAGGGTGAGAGGTGGCCAAAGCTATGACAACCTCTTCAGCGTGCGTTACTGTGTCTGCTCTAAAGGAGAGGCAATCGACGTGTTTGCCCTTTGTAATCACGGCAGCCATGAAGTGACCCGAGGGGGAGGGACCCGAGACGTCCACGTAAAAAACACCAGGACGATCGGAGTGTCGCGTATGAAGGGCCGCGGCGCGTGCTAGTCTACGGCCAGGATGGAGGTCGGGGCTCATATTACGGGGTAGAGGTTCCACCCATAGCTTTTGACGCCAGAGCTCTGGTACCGGCTGCAGAGGGTCTTGGTCAGATATTGGGTTAAGGCCAAGTCTGTGTAGAAGACGGCGCCCTGAAGGCGTCTGCGACAGTCGATTGATTTGGTTAACGCGATGAGCTTCGCGCATCTCTGCAAAGGTGTTGTGTACCCCCAGAGCCGCGAATCGGCTGTTGGAAGTTGCAATAGGTAGGTCCAGAGCGCGTTTGTACACTGAACGAAGAAGGACGTCCAGCTGGTGCTCGTGTCGACGACGCAGGCGAAGGTAAGGCAAGGCGTAGAGGACGCGACTGGTCACAAACGCGTGGGCCAATCGGAAGGACTGAGACCCGCGGAGGCCGCCGCGCTTGAGAGACACTCGCCGTATCATGCGGCTCACCTGCTCGCTGGTGCGTCTGAGGCCTGCTATTGTGCCCTTTGGATCCAAGGACGATGTGAGGTGAAGGCCAAGAACCCGAATATTTTGCACTGATGGGACAGGCCCGGACGGAAGGAAATTTTAGGCGGTGGTAGCGGAGAGACTGAAAGAAGAGCCGATTTAGCTGGAGAGCACTCCAGGCCGCATGAACCAGCGTAGGTATCCACCAGAAGGGCAGCCTTTTGCAGGCGTTCTTCGATTTGCGCTAAGGAGCCGGTGTTAGTCGAGATTGTGATATCGTCCGCATATAGTGCGTGTTGTATTCCCTCGACCTCGCTTAGAAGAGAGGGGAGGTTCATCATCGCCAGGTTAAAAAGCAGAAGAGACAGGTCTGCCCCTTGAGGTGTACCCCGCGTGCCTAATAAGTACGGGCCGTGTTCGGTAGAATTAAGGCGAATGAAGGCGGTGCGATGTGATAGAAAGGCGCGAATGTAGTTGAAAGTCTTCTGCCCGCAGTTTGTGGTAGACAGGTTAGTGAGTATAGTGCTGTGTTTGACGTTGTCGAACGCGCCGCGGAGATCGAGAGCGAGCACGGCTTTATCGTTATGGCGCATAGTAGTCGGCTCTATGATATCGTGTTGAAGCTGGAGCAGGACGTCCTGCGCCGACAGATGCGGGCGAAAGCCAAACATCGTGTCGGCAAAGGGCCTCCTGGCCTCCAAGTAGGCGGAAAGGTGTTCGCGAACCATGGTTTCCATGAGTTTGCCTGCGCAGGACGTAAGTGAGATGGGTCTCAGTGCCTCGATACTAACGGACTTTGCCGATTTGGGTATGAATGTCACGACCGATGTGGTCCATTCCGTTGGCAGCGGAGAGCAGTCCCATATTGAATTTACAAGGTGGAGTAGCGAGAGGTGTGCTTGGTCGGGAAGATTTGCCAGGAGCGATACTGTGATTCCGTCGCGTCCAGGGGCCGTGCCCCGTCGCATTTTCGTGAGTGCAAATCGTAAATCGGAAAGCGTGTATGGGGCGTCGAGGTCGTTGTTAGGGGCGCCGGAATACGTATATGCTGGGCCCGCGGGATCAATTGTGCGGCAGATGTAGCGGTCACAAAGTTCTCGCGCGAGTTGATCCGTAGTGCCCTGAAAGGCATGCAGAGCACGGTGGAGCTGGCGTTGCGTTTCTCCCCTGGTGTTGGAGGGATCGAGAAGGCTTCTAAAGAGTCGCCACGCACTCTTAAAGCTCATCTGGTTTGCAGCCTTCGAACAGGTGTCTGCCCAGTTAGCATCGGAAAGTTGTGCGGAGTATGCGGCCGCCTCTGCAGTGAGCGCCTCAATGCGAGCGCGAAGTTTCCGATTAAGTTTGTTGCGTTTCCAGCGCCTTACGAGCCCACGGCGAGCGTGCCAAAGATGTAGGAGGTGTGGATCGATTGCAGGAGTCAAATTGGAGGCTGCAAGGGTGCGAGTGTTCGCTTGTTTCAAATGGAGGGCGTATGTGGCCCACGCTGCATATTCGGTCGAGGAGAGGACGGCGGGAAATGTTGCATTCTGAACTGAGTCCAACCGGTGAGACGGGCTTGGCCCCAGTGTTGGCGCATTTTCTGCCGCGGTGTGAATGAAATGCGGAGTAAAAAGTGATCGCTGCCTAGGGTTTCGCCTAAATTTTCCCATGCAGCATCGCGGATGTGACGGGTGAGGGAGAGGTCGGGGCATGTGTCTCGCGTGACCGAGTTGCCGGAACGTGTGGGTTGTGCCGGATCGGTAAGAAGCGTGAGGCTCAGCGAGGAATTGAGCTCCTTGAGCTCTCTGCCCCGGGCCTTCTCGTAGTGGTAACCCCAGTGAGGGCTGGGGGCATTAAAGTCCCCGACAATCACCAGTGGTTGTCGGGCCGCTATACGCAGCGCCCGATGGAAGAGATGCGCAAACGAAGCCCTCGCAAGGCGAGGCGGCAGTACACGTTTAAGATATGTATTGATGGTTGGCCCCTCCGCTGAGACAGCACTGATATCATGCAGTATTAGTAAGGAAGATCCAGATCGAGGTCAATCTGCATCGCCGTGTAAGCTTTACGCACGAGGAGGCATGTGGTGGTGCCGCCTACATAGGAGCAGTATCCAGAAAGGGATGGAGCAGGGCCAGATTCTTGGAGCACCAAAACGGCCGGCTGAGAGCCAAGTGAGCTGAGGAAAATAGAAAGATGTGAACGCTTTCACCTGTTCCCGAAGCCTCCAGGGTTCCACTGTATGATATCGAATTTAGACGCAATGTTTGAACGGGACGTACGATTGGTAGCCATCGTGATGTCTTAGGTTTTATATTTGGCCCTCCATGTCCCGCTCGGAATCCTCAGAGGCAGGGAGGGGCACAGAGGCCGGATTGTCCGACGGCGGGTTGGTGGTAGC